TCAGTTCCAATGACTATTGTCAAGTCAAGCTCAGAGAAAGCAAGACTCATGTTTTCCCAAACAAGTAATGACTAAAAGTATTTTTAATTTTTCAATGTTTTATTGATAGAAGATGAGAGAAGACTTTGGGGGAAAAATTGCTAGTGTTTACAAAATTCTACAGACAACAGAAAGCCCTCGTGGGATCTGAAAGCCCTCCAGAGTCGAAATTTCTCAAATTCTGATCTCTTTTGTCTCCCTCTGAGTAAATCTAATTCTAGAAATTTGTCCTCTGGACACAACCAGACCGCCAACAAAAATGCCTTAAAAGGATGTCACGACAGTGAGTTATAAGACGAGAGGGGCCTGTGTCTTCTGTGGGCCTGGCCACTTTACCTTTGTGGGTGGGGGTCTTCCTCCATGAAACATTTTTTTTTGGTGAGGAAGGTTGTCCCTAAGCTAACATCTGTACCAATCTTCCTCTATTTTGTATGTGGGACACCGTCTCAGCATGGCTTGATGAGTGGTGTAGGTCTGGACCGGGGATCTGAACCCATGAACCCTGGGCCACCAAAGAGGAGCACGTGAACTTAATCACTATGCCACCGAGCTGGCCCCATAAAACATTCTTAAAAAATATTTGTTATGACTTTGTTCACATAAAGATGAATACAATCCTGGCTGGATCCATTATCATGTATATTCCATACTATTATATTAATTTTTCTTCTGATTTAAAGAGAAGTTAAAATGAAACCTTCCCATGGCCTTAAGGGCATCGCAGCACCTTGTGGAGAAGCTGGCAGCCCTGAGCAGGAATAACCACAGGCCACCTACTGCCTTGTCACAGAAGTTGCAGGCCCCTTTGTGATGCCACAGCCAAAAACGATGCAGGAAAATGTCGTTAATCTAGACTGGGGCGGGGTTGGGGTCTCCTGCCCCTCTGCACCCCACCCTGGCAGTGATCCTGCCCCAGCACCCCAGCACCGGCCAAGCACATGCAGCCTGGTCCCCCGCCACTGCGCTGTAAGGGCTGGTGCCGGGCCCCGTTCAGGCCTGACTCTGCCACAGACGCTCAGCCAAGCTTTCAGGATTCCTATCAGATCCACCCCCTCTCTGACACAGAGGGGCACTGACTGCAAGAGGGCAGGGTCCCGCTCTCTATCGTGCTGGGAGATGAGAATGGACGCCTCGCCGTGTTTCCTCACCACTGAGGAGGCCAAGGGACATGCCTCAGGCCCCCAAGTGGCGATGATCAAGGCCAGGGCTCCCTCCAGGCTTGTCGGATCCCTCAGCCCACACTGGCTCTCGGAGCCCCTTGTGAACCATCTGCAGCAGGGCTGGGGGGCGGAGGTCTGGCCTGAACCCAGGGGTGGCCTTTGTGTCAGTTTCCTGAGGCTGCTCTAACAACGCCTCCGTACTCGGCTGAAAACAGCACACATTTGCTGACTCCCAGTTCTGGAGGCAGAAGTCCAGCATCGCTGGGCCGGAACCAAGGTGTGCGCTCCCTCCACAGCTCAGCGGCCTCTTCCAGCTCCTGGTGGCCGCCGGCATTCCCTGGCTTGTGGCTACATCGCTCCAACCTCTGCCTCCGTGGTCACATGGCCTCCTCCTCTCGTGTGTGTGTGTGTGTGCACATGTGTGTGTGTGTGTGTGCATGCATGTGTGTGAAATCTCTCTCCCTCCCTCTTAGATTACATGTGATTGTATGTGGAGTCCTTCTGGGCCAACAGAAGACCTCCCTGTCTCCCGCCCTGAGCTGTCACCACGATGACAGGGGGGCGTGTCCAGGGCTTTGGATGAGGCCATCCCAGAGGGGCCTGGGGGCTTTCTCTTGTCCCAGTCAGAGTGGCTTGAAGATGAGCAGACTGGTGGCCAGTGATGCCAGGCTGGGGCAAGTGCAGAGCTGCGCGTCTACCCATGGGTCACACATGAATCTCTGTCAGCACGCCACCTCGGACTCCTTCTCTTCCTCACAGCTCGGTTCTCTGGGCCCTGGAGCTCTGGGCAGTGCCACGTGTCTGTCCCCACGTCTGTGGGTGCCTTCCCTCGGGTCAGTATTGATCTGGCTGCCTTGAGCACCTCGCTCTGCCCCTTCCCTGCCTGGGGCCTGCCCTCCAGAGCCCTGCCGTGGGAAGGGTGGGCAAGGTCCACTGCTGTCCACGTGGTTTTTGCTGTATAGGCTTGTGACATGGGTGAAACAGATGGAAAAGCCGGCCCACAGGGCTTGAGCAAATACTGAAATTCTGTTTTTTCAGATAGGTGTCCTGCTTGGGGTGACAAGCTGGCAGCCAGCAGTGCCAAACCGCAGACACTGATTCAGGCTCAGGGGGACAAGCTTCTGTCCCCAGGGCCTCCCATAAGCTTTTACTGGGTCCCTCTGCTCTAAGCGGCTGTGCTGACTGCAGCAGCTGTGGCCAAGCCATGTCCTGCAGAATCAGGTCCAGTTTTCCTGCTTCAGCCCTGGCTAGAGTGGGGCCCCAGCACCCCTGGACTGAAGGTGTGCTGGCTTTGGGTCCCTGAGTGGAATGGTGTGGGGGGTGGATATCTTCACCCTCTCGAGTCAGAACAAACACACCTACCCTAGGTACCCTGGCCAGTTCAGGGTGGATCTGAATGGTCCCCCTGGCCTCTTTCTGTGCCTGGTGGCCTTTGGGACTGGAAGGGCCCCAGTGACCAGCACTCTGTGCTGCCTCCATGCACAGGGGCTGGGAGTAGCCGCCTGCCAGGTAAGGGGTGGGAAGTGGTGGGTCAGAGGCCCGGGGACATCCCAACCCGCATTCCAGATCAGGGCCCTACCACATCAGAGATGTACTTACTGCCATCCCAAAGTGAGGCCTGTTCAAATCTCATTCAATAGCTTAAAGCTCAAGGATGTAATAACAGTCCCTTCTGTTACTACCATCTCTCAGAAGCCATGCAGGGACCAGGAAACCTGCTCCAAGGGGACAGGCCCTCCCGCCTCAGGAGGGGGAGCTGCCTCCTTCTAGGGGGGCCACACCCAGACGCCCAGCTGCCAAGCTGCCCCGCTGCCCCGCTACCTCTAAATGGTGTGCCCCAGAGCAGCACAGAGACGTCACCCCGGGAGCCATACTCATCTGGCTAACTGGACCCTGTGGCCCACAGAAGACAGGCTAGGCCTTCAAGGATGCTGCTCCACCAACTTCCAAATGCAAGTTACCCCCTCAGCCCCTCTGTAGTTGTCAGGTTTCCACTAACATCTGGTTTATGGCAAACCTTGCCACCTCCGGCTCCAGCTGGAAAGTACCGGGGTTTCTGTCTCTCCCTGCAGATGCTGCTCTGAAGGGACAGTGGTGCCCTCCACTGCAGTCCAGGATGGGAGCCACTCACCCCCTTGCAGTGGTGGCCGCAGCCAGTTGCTCCTAAATCAAGGAAGAGCAGATCCACCAAGGGTGCTCACTCACTTCCAGAACCCCCAGTTGGATCTCATATGAGGGATGCACTTTCCCCTATTAACATCACGTTGACCCAAACCCTTCGAAAGGCAGGTTTCCCACCCTCTCCTGCCTGTTTTCCTCACTGAGGGCCCTGCACTACCTGAGAATGCCCCTGTCCCTATCCTCAATGGCTGCAGCCCCAAAAGGTCTCTCTGTGACCCATGAGAGGGATGTGTGGGCGGGTGGATGAGCCCCTGTTTATTGTGCACAGATGGATGGACGTGTGAATGGGTGTCTGGGTGCACGGGCATCTGAGGGATGCTGGGTGGGTGAGCCAATGGAGGCAACAGGGAGGGCCTGATGCCAGTGCAGACAGTGTCTTTCCCAGTTGGCTTTTAATGTTGCTTTTGAAGGACATGACTTGGTGGGGGCAGGGTTTCTTTCTCGATACGGTCGGTCACACCTAGTCGCATTTCAACTATTATGTCATCACCAATGTTCTTCAAGGTAGCAACTCCTGGATGAGAAACTGAGGCTCCCAGGAGCAGTACCTGCCTAGGGTCACCCAGCCTCAGGGTGCCACATCCTCTACTCTCAATCCTGAGGAGCCCCCAGAGCCCAGCCTGGCCCAGGCCCAGGGCACCTGCACCTCATTTGGTGGTCCCGAGGGCAGGCCTCCCTCTGGCGATGCTGCGGTCCCCTCCCTGAACCTGCACGTGGACATCCGGCGAGCTGCGCCCATGACATGGGCACCAGCTAACATCTTGGACATGCTTGGCTGAGGGTGGCCTCTGGCTGCTGACCTTTGCTGGGCTCCTTTCTGCTCCCCTAGGTGAGGTGCCCACTGGGCTGTGCTGGCACCCCTGCCTGGCCCCCAAGTGCAGGGGTCCAGCCCACACCAGGTCCAGGGGTCATCACTGGCTTCCCCCGTCCCCTCAGCCCCTGGGGCTGCTGGTGGGCCAGCCCCTCCCTGGAAACCTGCTAAGGGCCCATCCAGCTGGTCAGTGTCATGCCTCAATCTGCAGCCACCCTTAGGCCAGCAGTTCACTTGTGAAGGGAAGGGGCCCCACCGCCAGGCAGGGTTGGGGAGGGCCTGCCGCATGCCGCACGTCGTACTCCCCCGGCTAGAGCTCATCTCCCTGGGCAGGGACTGAAGTTGGGGCCCCAGCCCAGACCTCTCTGACCTCGAGGTCCAAGCACACACTCAACCAGCCAGGTGATCCGGGGCACCGTGCACCCCTCTGAGCCTGTCCCCCTGTCTGTGACGGGTAAGTGTAGGCACCTGCTTGGCGCCATGCGATGTGGGAACCTGGCGGCAGGGACCCAGCCTGCCTGGGGCAGCATTTGGCTCTAGTGCGCGGTGACAAGCGCCATGTCACTTTGCCCGTAAATTAGACTTCAGGGGACCGCGTTCGCAGCACTCAGAAGCGCTTCCGCCGGGGAACGGAGCCGGCGCCCGGGGCTCCCCCGCGCCCTCTGCTGGTGGCTTTGCGGGGCTCCACAGCCGAAGGGCGGTGGCGAGGGGCGCTGCTGAGCTGCCGGCTGCCCTTTCCTTTCTGCGGCCTGTCCAGCGGCCCTGTGAGGCGGATGATCAGCGGGAGGAAGGCTGGAATCATAGAGAGCTGGGACTTAGCTGAGAAGCCATTCATAGTAACTCAAAGACTGGCGTCAAGTTTATTATTATCTCTTGTTAAATATCTTAGATCTTTTAGGAGCACATGGTCTACAAGGCATGGCAGGTTTTCTTCCCAGTACATTTCTGTGTGTGCAGTTATGTGACGGGAGGGGAGAGGACACAAACAGGTGGTACGCACGTGGGAAGGGGCTTGGAGGACAGGGCCCTGCTCCTGCGTCACGAGCACTGCTCCTCAGATTGAGAAGAGCCTCTGGACTTCCGCCAGGCAAACCTGAGGCCCAAGTCTCACAGACAGGTGACATCAGAGGAGAAAGTCCACTAGGGACAGCGAGGACTACAGTCTCACGAGCGTTCAACACATCCTAAAGGATCAATACACAATGGTGGGGGGGAGGTCTGCTGGCTGCACAGCTGCCTGTCCTGCAAGCGTCTTGTAGGGTGTGGAGGGGCTGTCAATCTCCGTGGTGCTAACTGGGAGGAGGGTCTTTCTCCTGCCAGGGGTGGGGTGCCTGGGCAGTGAGCTGGGATGGGAGGCCTGGGCCGAACGGTGCCAGCCTCCGGATGGTCCTTGGCTGCTCCCCGGTGAGGGCAGAGGCTTGACCTGCCAGGGCACCCGTGTCAGGCAGAGACCAGGGGGCAGAAGACAGGGTCCCCCCAGGGCCACAAGAATGTCCGCTTATTGCCTCGTGGCACAGAGCAATGCTGGATTGGTCTTCGGGGCCAGCCCCAAAGCCTTCCTTGCTGGAACCACGGTGTCCACCTCTGAGAAGGACGTTCAAGGCTTGGGAGGTGCCTCGGGTGGCAGATCGAGGCCCCGGACGGAAGAACTAGGCGTTTCTCAAAAAGGGCAGCTCTGGACCATCAGCTGGTTCTTCCGATTCTGGGCCAGGAAGTGGGGCTGGGGGCCTTCTCCAGAAAGAGGTGACGATGACTGTGTCTGCTATGACGGCACCTGACTTGGGGTCAGAGGCAAGACTTGTCTAGATTCAGAAAGACCTTCGCTGGGCTCCCTTCGGACTGAGGTTTTGAAATGTAACTTCTTCACACAGCTCAGTCTGTTAAGTTCTAATGGAAAAAATCTATTGAATGGATCTCCTTAACCCTCAGAAGAAGGCGGCCGGTTGGCCAGGCTCAAGAGAGGACCCCTCCCCAAATCCCTCATTTGTTGCTTTGTGATGGCAATATGGCCCCTGCCTTAAGCCTTTGAGAGGCAAGTGAAGAAAGCCATTCCCCAGGGAGAGGGAAGGCTGTGTGGAGGGACAGCACTTGGGGCGAGGGCTGGGAGACCACAGCTCCAGTCTGGCTCCACTTCCATCACTGTGTGACGCTCAGACCCTCATATTCCTCAGTAGAAATCGGGGTCATGCCACCACCCACCATCAGAGAGGCGTTCCCCGTGGGAGTGCCCAGCCTGGGGCTGCCCCTGTGGACGCTGCGCTAAATGGAATCTGAGTCTGGATGGGGAGAAGGCCTGGGCAGGCGTGGTGCTGGAGTCCAGGGAGCCCTGGAGCCCGGGCTCAGCTCTTCCCTAGCTAGAGAGGAGGAAACGCCTCCTGGCCTGAACCAAAGGAGATGAATTCTCAGCCCTCTGCTTGCCCCACCAGGCATGGCCCCACCAACTGTGGGAGCGGGTTGCCGGGGCCGTGCCTGGGCCATCTCAGTAGCTGTTGTCTGTGAAGAAGGGTGTGTGGGCGGCCGGGGCACAGTCGCCCTCCTCTCGAGGCCCCGCCAGCTCCCCATACTCGCTGTTGTAGAACACCTGGCCTCCCTGTGCCCCCAGGTCCGGCTGCTGCCTCCCTTGGGGGTCAGGGTGCGCCCTGGTCGTGTCCACATTCCGGCCAGGTCCTTTACAGCTGCTGAGACAGGGAGGATGGCGTCAGTGAGAAGAGAAGATAAGAGGGACTAGACCCGAGTTGGAGTCTGGCTGGAATCATCAAAGACAACCAGAGCAGTAACTGAGCACAAAGCCAAGGGAAGCACACACAGACTTGACTTAAATAGCAAACCAGACTGATGTGACTATTGGCAAACTCTGGAACATTCTCTGTCCCAAAACTGGGTGTGGATCCACGCAAATGCCCAACTTCATCCCCCCAAACCTGCCTCCCTCCCAGTCTTGCCCATCTCAGGACTTAGCACCAACACTGACTCAATGGCTCAAGCACCTGCGTGTCATACTTGCTTCCTCCCTTTCCCTTCCCCCTCATATCCGGTCCAGCCAGAAGTCCTGTCTGTTCTAACTCCAGAACGCATCCATGCCTCTCTCTCCATGCCCTGTCCCCGCCTTAGAGAGAGGGGCCGTCACTGCACACTCTGTACTCTTCCCCCAGCACATCTCCCCTCGCCCCCTCCTGTCTGCCTAAAGTCCACTCTTCAGAGATGCTGGAAGTTGGATGATGTCCTTCTCCTGATACATCCTCCAGTGGCTTTCACCTACAGACCTAGATGAAATGCCACACTGCCCAGCATGGGATCTGGCATCCTGAGTGGACACTGAAAGGGCTGGATGGGTGACCTGGAAGTGAGGACAAGTTAATTCCCCATGAGGTGAGTGCTGACCAGTAGCTAACAGGAGACAGGAGAGGACTGGGCATCTGCCCTACAAACTGCTCATTCTGTCCTAGAAAGGCACATTCTATCCTTGCCTGTTTGGAGAATGGCAAAAAGGCCAAGTCACTCACAATGGTTTCCCATCACTCAGAATGAAATCCAACCTTCTCACCGTGGCCTGGGAGGCCCCGCTGGCTCCAGCCCACCTGCCTCGTGGACAGCCCCACGATGCTCCCTCCCTAGCTCTCACTTTCTTTGAGTTTTTTGAAAATGTTGCTTCGTGTTTCGTTGTTGTTTTTTGATTTGCACGGTGCCACTGAAAAGCCTGATGCCAATCTGACTCTTTTTTTCTAAGTGACTTGGTCTTTTTGCCTGAAATCCCAGAATGTTTCTCTTTAAAGTCTAACAGTTCTACTAGGATATGTCTTAGAGTCGACTGCTCTGGGCCAGTCTCCCCAGGTACCCTTCCAATAAGTAGATTCAGGGCTTCTTCTATTTAAGAGAGTTATCTTGAAGTACAAGTTTCAAATATGAGCTCTGTTCCACTGTGGGCATCTTCTTCCTCAGAGACTCCAACTGTACACATGTTGGATCTTTTCTATTCCACTTCTATATCCGTCTCCTTCTGATCCTTTTACCTCTTTATTTATTTCAGTTTTATTTTCTTGACTCTCTTCCTGTCCATCTTCTGTGTCTTCCTCCTGATCATATCTACTGTTTCTTGGGCATCCTGGTCTCCATTTCTGAGAGGATTTGTCTTTTATTTCAATTTCTTTCCTGCATTTAGTCAGCTCCTATTTGATATCTTCACACTGTTTGTCTCTTTCTCTTCTGAATTTTTGAATTTCTGATTTATGTACAGCTCCTTGATTGATCACATATTTAATGCATGCTGGAGTGTTGTATCAGTTTTCCTCTGCTTCATTTTTTTTGTCCTCATGTCTAGTGAAAGTTTTCAGTCTAATTTTCTTTTTTATTCTTATAATAACTCTGTATGGATAGTGCTTATTTTTTCTGTCCATGATGATTCACACTTGGATTTTTTAGACCAGAAAGAGCTTGTTCCCCTACAGAAGGGGCTAGGGATGTGTGTGACTTCCTAGGTTTCTTCATTCGGGAGTGCTGTATCTGACCCACATCTTTGGTATCACCTGAATTCCTTCAACTGGATCCTTCTTTCCAACAGCTCCATTCATGTCCTGTATGTATCGCCACCAGGGACCAACCAGTCACTTAGCTGGGAGTGCTGGGCCCCCTCTTGGCGGCTGCCACGCAGCCATGCTGACCTACCACAAGCCCAGGGTTCCCAGATCTTCTTTTTACCTACAGACTTGGGTGAAACACCAGACCACAAGGCATGGGACCTGGCATCCTGAGCGGACACTGAAAGGGCCGGATGGAAGACCTGGAAGTGAGGAGGAGTTAACTCCCCATAGGGTACGTGCTGCCTGGTGGCTAACAGGAGACAGGAGAGGACTGGGCAGATAAATGAGCTCCTTCTTCTCCCCTGCAGTCCCCTCCAAGACACATTCTATCCTTGCACCTGTCTGGACAGTGTTCCACACGCCAAGTGAATGCATCTGCCAAGTGCCCTGTGGCACCTCTTTGTGGCTCTTCATGATGTGTGTCCAAGGGGACTCGTGCAGAGAACAGCACCCTCTGCTGCTGTCATGAGGTGCGGTTTCTGGAAGGAGCAGTTCTATTGGGTGTGTATCTGCCTTCTGGATTCTTGATGCGATCTCGCCTCCATAGCACTCTCATCTTCCACAACTTTCTTCTTCCTTCACCACCAAGCACCTGAGGGGCACACTCCCTTCCTGCTCACTGCCCTCTCAGAAGCAGTGCCTTCCCACTGTGCCCTGGGAGCCTGCTCCGCTCCACCAGCTCTCTGCCTCTACTATCTCCCCAGTCTGTGTGGCCACTGTCCCGAGGACCTTGTCACACTGCCCTCTCACGGGGCAGTCCCCATCCTACTGTCCTTCCGCTGTGGTTCAGGCATGGCTTGCTGGTCCCGGTGCCAATTTCCCCACTTGCACACAAACCGGAGTCTTTCTCCTGGTTACGTCACAGGCACAGGCTCTGAGCAGCCTTCCTTTATCTGCTGTTTTTAGGAAGATGTGTGGAGATTTGAATTTAAGTGGCTGTCATCCTCTGGCTCACTCTCTTACTAAATTACTTTTCTTTGAAAGATAAAATACTGTTTGGCAAAGAAACATTAGCCAGAAACTATTTCTGTCAATGCAATTAGCATTAATTTCCAAAACTAGGTTACTAATAGAGGTCACCTGATGGAATCAATAAAAACAAAAAAAGAGACCAAGATGCACGATACAGATGCAGTCATTATTCCTGGGCATATGGCTCCGCAGCCGCCAGTGCAGCGTTCACAGTGCTGCAGACTCGCCCTTTGTGGGCTGCTGGGAAAATACCCAATAGTCGGTTAAGTTGTGGAGTCATAAAGGCAACTCCCAGAAAGGAGAAAAAGGTACCAACTGCCCCTAATGCGACACAGACGAATACTGTGGTCTAGAGTAAGACATGCAGTGACAGCATCATATCTTGATTCAAAAACAGCGTAGGCAGAAGCCAAGATTTACTTTGGAAAACTGTGTCAGAGGACCTGAAAAGGGGCTCCTGAGAAAGACACTGATGTCAAAGGTCCAGGTAAATGGCCTGAACACAATGATTTGAAGAAAGCAGACAAAAGCAATGTTTTATAAAATATTATAGGTCCTGTCACTTCAACAGCTATGTGCAAATCAACTAATAAGGTGAACAAGTAGACATTTAACTATTTTATCTATACCCTAAAAGTTTAAATATTCAGTTTTTTGGGGGGCTATCTTGGGCAAATGCAGGTCACCTTCTATCTGGGCCACCCTCTGTGCAGGTACACATGAGGATTTCTCTGTATCTGATTCTTATCAAAATAGGACATGAGCCAGCTCCAGGTCACATGATCTGTCTGGCCCCTGCGCCCACTGGGCTAAGTGCGGGGGCTGGGCTGGCTGTGGCCTCCCCTGTCTCGGGGGGTGCGTACGTATGGTGGGCACGGTGGATCATACTCGGTTTCACAAAGAGGTGGCATCTGAGCGTCTGTCAAATGGGAGGGGGTGGGGGACCCAGCACCAGGTGTGCCAGGTCAGGACGGTGACGGTGGTGGGGGCTCCTTGGGGAAGGCCTGGTGGCCGAAGACCTCGAGTCCCAGAGCAGCTTGCCTTGAACCCACAGAAATGCAACAGAGAGCCAGGAAATGTTCCAGGTCAGAGAGTGAGGGGCACACGTAGGCGCAGCCTCCCTCCCGGGCCGCTCGCAGGGGAGGAGGCTCGAGAGGCCCTACCTGAGCTGGCCTTCTTGTCGGTGCCTGCTCTCCAGCTGCTCCAACTCCTCAGAGGCCAGCACCATCCCACTGTCCGTCTGGTTATCCTGTGTGGAGAGGACAAGTCCAGGCTGCAGGCCCCGCTGAGGCCCGTCTGCAGGCAGCTGCCCCCCAGGCAGGACAGGGCACATGGACCCCCACCTCTGCCGACCTCATACCCATCCTGTGGGAAGTGAGCATCTGTTTCATCATCGGAGAATGAAAGTGAGGGTCACCTGCCCCACCACAGAGGGAGAAACTGAGGCCTGGGGGGCCATGCCTGGCCCATGCTCAGGAGGTGGCAAAGCTGGGACACCCAGTGCTGGGGGACCTCCAAGGTGGCCCCACAAGTGCTCAGGGTACAGGCAGAGCAGGAGCACCAGGAGAAATGGGGAAAGTATTGAAAGACTTGGCAGCTCACAGGATAGATGAATGGTCCTCCTGCAGACACAGCCAGGTCTGGTGGCTCTGCCACCCTCAGGTTGCCGTGATTGGTGCGGTCCCATTTGGCATCACGTGGAGGGGAACTGCACTGTTGTCAGTTTGGGGCCCCCCAGGGTCTTCATCTTGTTCTGGGGACACCACTGCCCATGCTGGCAGCCTCCCCAGCCAACGCTCACTGACCAGTCCTGTCCAGAGGGAGGCTGGGGCTGGAAGGGTCCTGGCTGCGAGCTGCCGGCACTCGGCTGGAGGCTCAGGCTGCGCTTTCACAGAACCGCACACCTGCTTGTCCCTCACAGAGCCGTTAGAGCTGCACCGAGCCTGACCCTCGTCTGAGCAGGCAGGGGGGTCTCCAGTGCCCTGTACCCCAGCCACCTCCTCTGGTGGCTCTGACCCCTGTCTCAGGCCACGTAGCTTGGTGGCCACCAAAGGGGGCCCTGCCTACGGCCGATCCAACAAGGCCCATCCGGAAGGAGGAGCCTACGCTGCTGGGAGAGAGAGAGCTGGCGCTGCCAGGGGGCCCCGGGTGAGTGAGGACGACACAGGTGAGGCGGCTGAGAGGCAGCGGCATCATGGGAGCACCCAGACCCCAATGTGCCAAGGCGCAGCCTGGACTTGACATTTCAAGGGACAGTCGCTCCCTTCCCTGAGCTGGTTTCTGCCCCTTGCCTGAGGAGTTCCTGCCATCTGCCTCCTGCAGAGAAAGCCCAGAGGCCCTGATCTGGGGCGCACAGGCCCCCCACCACACTTACCACTGAGGCCTTGTAGGTAGTCGAGGTCATGGGAAATTCTTCAAACGTTTTCATCCTGGAGGGACCCTGGGTCTGAGTCCCTCTGGCCAGGCATCCCGGAAAGGACACACAGTTGTAATATCTGTGGGAATAAAACAGAAGTGCTGAAGAGACGTACCCCAGCACCCCTCCTGAGAGCTTGCTCCACCTCTCCGTCTGCCTCTCTCCTCCCAGGAAGGACCTGGGCCCGGGGTGTGAGGATGAGGCCCGGGTCTGAATGCCAGTCTGCACTCCTCCCCAGGCTTCTGCAGCCGTCCCCCATGCGGCCCCCTGACACCGAGCTGTGTCTCCTCTCCTGTGCAAGAGGACTGAACCTCCTGAGGCCACTGCTGAGGAGGGTATGGCAGGCAGTGGAGCTGGTGAGAGACGGGGTGGGGGGAGCTTCACCCTGGGATGGGCCACCCTGTGCAAGGCAGGCAGGCTTGGTGCTGCAAACCACTGCCTGGCCTGTATGTGTGTGAATGCTTGTGTGTGGACATTTGTGTTCACTTGTGTATACATGCACTTGTGTGCACTGGGGGCTTGGTAAAATGAGCCTGGCAAGAACCAACTGGCTGTTCCTGTCCCCCAGGCCTGGCCCTGCACTACACTGGGGCACATGGGCAGGGGTCTCAGAGCGCCTCTTTCAGCAACACCAATGGGAATGTGGACGGCAGGACCTTCCCGGAGAGTAAACCGCCACTGGCAAGACAACTCGGATCCAGAACTTTGGGAACTTAGGCTACATTCTAGTCCTGAATATGGGTTAGTGGCTGGCCTGCCCTGCTCCCAGGGTCTCTGCTGGGGGCTCTTGGGACCCACCCCACCCCTGGCCTGGGCGCTGTGCCCAAGAAGGGTGCTCCCTTGAAGCTGGGGGATGGGCTCTCAGGGGCTAGGAGTGTGGAGAAGCGGAGGAGGCTGGAGGACAGCAAGGACTAAGGAGGCGCAGAGAAAGCAAGGCCACATGGCCCTGGAGGGGTGCTGAGGCTGACAGGAGGGCCTCACCGACACCAGCAATGTCACTTAAAATCACTTTGCTCTTTGCGTTGGCGTACAGCGCTCAGTCCTCAGAGTTTCCTTTCCTGATGACTGAAGAGGATAACATATGCCATGTCCAAACTGCTGTCCTCCCGCCTGGGGACCCACGCACCGGGAGGGCGGCTGACCTGGCGGCCAGGCTGTGCCGGGGTAGGCTCAGTGGGCTGTCCTCTGCATCGGCGTCGGCCTCGGTGACGTGCAGGGCTGTGGTGGACGCCTGCAAGAAGCTGCCCTCTTCCGAGCTCTGAGAGCCACAGGGGGCTATGCAGACCTCCTCCTGGCAGGGAGGCAGAGGTAGCCGGGTCAGAGGCCACCGTGTCCCCCTCAGCTCCTGCCGCTGCACTCAGGATGGCTGGGGCTCCTGACTTGTGAAGTACTGTGCTCTGTGGGCTCTGGGGATTAAATGAGCCCACCTGGCCGATCCTCCCCACCGCCCCCCAGGGGCCCATGTACAGAGGGGCAGGCAGAGCAGGAGCACCCTGGCTCCATGGTGCTGCCAACTCTGCAGCCTCTAGCAGAAGCAGCACCAGCACTTCCCACCCTTTTCCTGGGGCAGAAACAGGAGCCAAAGTGTCTGTCCCCAGCCCCTGAGGCCTGGACAGCAGGTCGCTCTCTGCTCACTCCTCCTGGTCCCAGTCCTGGTGCACCAGTGAGGCCCTGAGTCCGTCCTGAGCTGGCTTTGTTCCCCACCTATGACGAACACGGTGTGGGAGGGAGACGCAAGTCCAGGGCAGGTGTAGGGGGCAGAGCTGCAGGAGGCGGAGGCGCAGAGAGGGAGTGGAGGCCACACTGCTCCTCAGCCAGAAGGCAGGGGCTCCTCGCAGGCCCCTTGCGGACCAGCCTGGGGCTCCTCGTGGGCAAAGACAGGCTCTGACCATCTGCATGATGGCCCTAGGGTAGGGTCCAGAGGTTGCTGTAGCAGGACAGGGCGGAGAGGGGGCTCACCTGCTGGCCCCCACCCTGGAGCAGGTCTCCCAGGATCTCCACCAGCTCTGAGAATGCAGGCCTCTCTTTGGGGTCCCCGGACCAGCAGCTCAGCATTATGCGACGTCTGCAGGTAAAGCCGGCTGCTGGACGTGGTCTGAGTGGGCCAAGCACCCTGCACCAACAGACCCCAGGCCGCCCCCCGCCCTGCCCTCCTCCAGGGGTGGGAAGGAGAGCTGTTCATTGAGAGATGAGTGGTGGAGTGAGAAGCTATGCCTGCAGGCCTCCACCCCCTCGCTGTGCCTGCACAAACTCCCCCCACCTCGTCCCGCCCCACGCCTGCATGCCCCCCTTCCCAAGCCTGAACCCAAAACCCCCTTCCTCACTCCCTGTACTCATCCACCCCTCCAGCCCCCTAGCAGCTGCATGGCGGGCCAGGAGACTCACATGGCAGGAGTGGCCAGGTCTGGGGCCCTCATCCGTGTGCCCTCTTTCAGCCGCTGGCAGAACTCCTCATTGATCTGCACTCCAGGGTATGGGGAGGCCCCTGATGGCAGAAACAGGACAGAAGTGGGGGTGGGTGGGGAGCAGGATGCAAACGACCTCTGTCCTGGGCCGCCCTAGCAGGGTGCTCGTCCTGCTGCTCCCTGCCCAGCACTAGAGCGCCATCTGGTTAAGAGAGCAATGGCTCCCTCTTGCTATGGCACTGTGAGCACCAGCACTTTAGAGACACCTTAGCGGAAACACGATTCCTGGGATCTTTGGGGCCGGGAGAGCCGCGCTGAGCCAGCGGAGCTGCCCTGTCACCATGACCCCTCTTGGGAGAGGCCTTCTCTGGCTGCCCAGTCCAGCCCCTCCCTAGGTCCCATGGCTCTGCCTGCAGACAGGCCCTGGACCCAGCCCTCCTTGCCCCAGGGGACCTGGCTCTCCTGACCACAGCAAAAGCACTCAGCAGCAGAGGCCTGGTTTAGACACGAGTCAGACTGCTCTCTCCCTCGCTCAAAGCCCCATAGGGCTGCCCCTGACTGAAATTCCAGATCCTCATCCCACCTGGCGCCGGGCCTGTGGGGCTGCGGGACCAGCTCTCCTCACTTTTGCTGCACCTCTTGGCGCTCACCCTGCCTGTGCCCTGCCCGCCTCCACCACGCGGGGATCGTGGGCCTGGCTGCCCTGCGCTCTGGACTGCCGTCCTCCAGGCCCACCTGCCTCTATCCCACCTGCCCCCCAGCCCCTGGCAGACACAGCTGTCCTGTTCCATCCTGTCCGGTCCTTCCTGTGCTCTGTCTGCTCTTCTGTGTAAGCGATAGTGTTCAGCACACCTGCCATTTGGTGCTTTTGCTTTCCCACTTGTCCACTGCTGTCCCTCACCTAGCAGGGGACTTCATCTTGGCCCCAGCGGGGCCCAGTTCCCGTGTGGGGCTCATGTAAGTAGGTGCAGTCATTAAGTGAGCACCCAGTTCCCTCCGGGCCGCTCCCCAGCCCTTGAAGGCAGAAGCGGCATCCCCAATGGCAGGTGAGGAAGGGGCTCAGCCAGGGAGAGGCAGATTTGGGGGGACCCTTGAGGCCTGTCCCTCTGAGACCTGTGGTGAGCTGGAGGCTCTGCCCCGGCACAGGCTGTTGGTGAAGGGATAGGTAGGGGCTCTCGAACCACCTGCCTCAGAACCACCTGGGCTTCTTGCTCCAGGTGCTTCCTGTGCCAGAGGAGACTGTGATCCCACCTCTCCCCTCCCCTGCACCCTGCCCTGCACTCACCCAGGGAAAAGATCTCCCAGAGCAGTACCCCAAAGGACCACACGTCGCTCTGCGTGGTGTACACCTTGTCAAAGATGCTCTCCGGGGCCATCCACTTCAGGGGCAGCCGGGCCTGTGGCAGGAGGAGGGAAGTGTGTCTGCATGGGGAGGGAAGAAAAGGAGAGGGCCAAAGCCTTGGGCAGCCCCCTCCTGCCTAGTCTACCCAGGACTCTGGGGCCAGGCCCCCAGGAAGGCTTTTGGCCACACATCCCTGTATGTGCTCAGATGGCTCCTGCAACTTGCCCTGCTCTCCCCACCTCTGCTCCACAAGTGCCTGTCACCACCTTGAAGGCTTCTTCCCTTTTGCTGTCCTCCTGGGTTCATCCGGGCCCGTCTCTTCCCTGTGCTCTCCCAGGGAGCACTTGTACCCCTCCTCCAGCTCCAGACCCCTCAGCCCAGCATCCCAAGGAACCCCAGATCCCTGTATGCCCTCACAGCCCGACCTCATCCACTCATGTGGTCCCCACACTGGAAGCCCAGCATCACTCCTCACCCCTCCTCCTGGGGCTCCTGATGTGCCTTCCCCACCCTGTGTCTCTCTTCCTCTTATGGCCTCTACTTGGGAGCCCTGAGGGCCACAGCCCTTCCTGACTGGCCTCTGCCTCCACCCCAGCACCCCCACTCCCCTCTCCTGACAGTCTGTATGGGGGCTTCTGGACTGCACACCTGACTCTCACCTCCGCATGCCCCCACACACCTGCGAGTTAGAATGAAGGACAAAAGCCTTCTGCACGGTAGCCGGCCATAACCTAGACCCATCCCACCCATTGCCCTCCTTCCGGGCCTCTCCCTTCCTCCCCTGGGGCAAAGCCCTTGCCAGCTTTGGGTGCTCATTCAGGTGCGGGCCTGGCCACCTTGGAGAGCCACCACTGAGACATACGCTGCACCTAACACCTGTGCATTTTTCTGTGACCGCCCAGGCCTGTCCATCTCTAGGACAGACACCATGTGGGGTCCACCTCTGCGTGCCCAGTCCCCACAGGCCAGGTGTTGGGAGTCAGTGTCCACCTAACAGACCAATGGCCAAAGACAGGCTGCCATCGGAGCACTGTGGGCCCTGCCGGTTGGCTCCCGCCCCCACTCCCTGCCCCAGGTGCCTCAGTGGGGTCACGAGGGTCCCTGCAGATGCAGGCCCTCAGACCTTCCATGTGGGTGGTGGTAAGTCCCCCACCCTCCCTCCCTCCGCGGCCTCCACTCACACTGCCCTTGCGCACGTAGTCAGGGTCTTTGTAGATGTCCCGGGCTAGGCCAAAGTCACAAATCTTCACCACGTCACTCTCTGACAGCAAGATGTTCCGGGCAGCCAGGTCTCTGTGGATGCACTGCAGCGCGAGGAGGTGCGCGGGAGCGGTCAGTGCAGGCCCCCGGGGCCGCGACCACGCCTCAGCCCTGCTCTTGCAGACACAGATTTCTGTGTACACCCAGGACTTGCCATAGGGAGGGCTCGTGGAACTATGGGGACAGCAAAGGAGCCTGTAGGGTGGGACAGACTCTGATTCCACATCCACCTCTGCTACTGACTAGCTGGAGATCTTAGGAAGTCACTTCCACACTCTGGGCTCAGTTTCCTCCTCCACAAAGTGGGAGAGACCTGCCTCAACCACAGGGTGCTGTGGGGAGAGCGAAGATGGAGCACGCCTTGACATGCTGGTGGGTCTCTATCCTTCTTCCCCTGAAGGGCCTGCTGGGGCAGTCACCTTGCGGGAGGCCAGGAACTCCATCCCTCGGGCCACCTGGAAGCTGTAGCAGACAAGGTCTTCCATGGTCAGTGGGCTCAGCCACAGGTCCTCTGCTGCACCAAGGAGCAAGGTGGGCTCAGACGGGACCCCTTGTTCCATCCCACCCCAAAGAGAGCATTTGTTCACCCAACCCTGGCAGCATCCCTCCTGGCCGGGCTTGAGGTCCCTGGCGCTACGTAACAAGTATGTGGGCCCCTTCGGCTGCCCCTCAGCCTCCACTCTCTCTGCGATACCCATGAATTACTCCCAGAGCAGTGCTACTTCTGCCTGGACTGCTCCCCCACTTTCTGCAAGGCGAACTCGCATGCATCCAGTGATACCCAAACCAAACGTCAAAAGTCTCTGAAGACTGCCCCTGAGGTGTTCTCCCGTCCTAAGGCAGAGCCCATCACATGCTCCCCCATGTAAGCCCCTCCAGAGGGCCCCAGGCTGGCTTATCCTGATCGTGAGGCATCATCGCGCCAGACAGACATCTTGGGCAAGGGGAAGCCAGGCTCTTACCTTCTTGAACCAAAGGGGTCCGCCCTGCCCCACCCTTGCCCATCAAGAGTCGCGTGAAAAGGGCCCTGTCGCTGCTCCCCGGTCTCCTCCGGTCAGCCCTCGCACCCTCCACCATGGCCTGGAAGCGCCTTCGCTGCTCAGGGGATTTCTCCTGCAGATGCACGAAGCGAGTTGGAGGAACAACCCACCACCCACGGCAGAGGCACTGCCCCAGCCCATCTTGGCGCTTCACCAGCTCACCAGCAGCGACCACCTACCGCATAGGGGCTGAAGGCCTCCCGCTTGGCGCGCAAGAAGTTGGAAAGGTTGCCATACTTGCAGAACTCCACGATCACCATGAGGGGGCCTGGGGCAGGGCAGGGCAGGAGCCGGGAGCTGGTGACCGAGGGCATGCTGGAGGGCAAGCGCTGTGCAACACCCCTCCATGCCCCTTCCTGTGCCTCACCCTGCCCCTGCCCCACCCCCTACAAGCCCAGCTGACCCTGCCCACCCAAAGAGCCAGTGCGGCCCAGGGCCTCTCCCTCCACCCGGGCCTCGCTCTGCTCCGCACCGTTGGGCTTGGTGCACGCCCCCAGCAGGTTGACCACGTTGAGGTGGTTACCGATGTGGATTAGGATCTTGAGCTCCGACATCAGGGCGCGGTGCTCACTGGCGGTGGCGCCCTCTGGAGGGGATACAGGGGCTTTGCACGGTGCCGGGCCTGCCCTGCCTTGGCCCCAATCCCGGCATGCCCCTCCGCCCAGGTCCCTGGCTTAGCTAAGGCATGCCCAGTGCTCTTGCCGGTGGGGGCGCAGCACGTCCTGCCCGCCCCTCTTTGGCAGGGGTTCAGGTGAGATTGAGGAGTATTACTCAGACCTGAGCCTCAGACCCAGCTCTGACTCCCTGTAGAACCTTGAGGGAGACTGGCTCTGAAGCTCAGTTTCCCCTGCTGCACCACAGCCTAACAGCCCACCCGGAGCTGCTGCTCCCACCAGTTCGGCAGCCCCCCGACCTGCTGGCCCCACACCTTTCAGCATCTTCACCGCCACGGTGTCACAGCCGCTGCCCTTGTTGATTCCGAAAGCAGAGGCTTCCACCACCTTCCCAAAGGCCCCGTGGCCAAGGACTCTCCCTGTGGGGGCAGGGAGTGGGTTCCAGGTGAACTGTATGGGAGTAGGGGTGGAGAGGGATGGGCAGCAGGGACAGCCCATGCAGAGGGCAAGGAAGGAAGGCCCAAGAGGGGGAGGAAGATCGAGAGCCCCTCTGCCAAACAGGAAGAGCACGGGGAGTCTGAGCGGGAAGAGAGGGAGAGGGTAGGCAGACAGGAAGGCCTGCATCCTCTCCCAGCAGGTGTGATGGGCCCACCCTGCTCGGAGCAGCAGGAGGTGACCTCGGGGCCTGGGAACTGGGAGCCCTGGCCATGGCTGTGGGGATGCACTCCCAGATGGACAGGTCAGGCCAGGTGCGGGCTAGGCGGGACCTTCTGGCATGCCTTCTGAGAATGGAGGGATTTCAAGGCTCCAGCGGAAGCTGTCTCTGCCAGACAGGACAGGGTGAGTGTGGCAGGCTGGGTGCTGGCCTCACCAAGGTGCAGCCGCTCCCGGGGGAACTCCCACTGGCTGGCATCATAGGACAGGTATTCACACTGCTCCTCCAGAGGCACCTCCCCAGGGTCCATGATGATGGACAGGTAGCCCGTCTTGATGTCTGCGTGAGCTGGCTGGGGGTGGAGGTGAAGCAGGGGCAGTTCATTGATGTGGCCATACCACAGAGGGTAAAACTTTGCCCAGGACAGATGGGATCTCCTTAGGGACTTTCAATCAAGGCGGGGACAGCCAGCCACCTAGACAACCTCTGGTCACGTAAGAACCCAGTATGGAAGGCTCAGGAAGGCTTCCCAAGAGATGGGGCTTCCAGCTAAGCCAGGACCCGACCTTATTCCTTATCTTAATGGATGGCCAGGTTGGAGAGAGACCCCATGAGGAGCTGGAGAGTGGCTCAGCAGGGGGAGAAGTGCTCACCCTCCTCATGTTACAGAAGATGAGGAGGAGGAGGACCCAGAAGAAGACTGCGATGACCCCGGTGCCGACAAGGATCACGATCTCCATGTTGCCTTTATCCTCGGAGCCTGAGTAGGGAGAAAGGGCCTAGTGCGTGCGTGAGGAGGACAGGGTGCACCCTGCGGCAAGCGCCCCTTCTCGTGGGCACAACTTGCCGTGAGGTGGCCACGAGAAGGCGCCAGGTGGGGGCAGGAGGTGGGGGAGGGGCAGGTGGGAGAAGCCGGACCTTCTACGGCCACACTGGCGGAGGAGTTGACGCAGCCCTTGGCATTGCACACGCTGCACAGATAGCGGCCTGCGTCCTCCTCGCGCACGCGCTGGATGCTCAGCTTCTGGTTTGAGTCGGCCAGGTCGATTCCTGCAGGGAGTTGGGGGGACGTTCAAGGTCAGGTGGGTCTGGGGGCCTTCGCCTTGCCAGCCTCCGGACCCCAGCCTTCCCCAGGGTCCATCTGCCTACCAGACTCTTCCTCCAGCAGCCTCTCATCTTTGTACCACACGATGCTTGGCACGTGCGCCCCTGCCACTGGGCACCGCATCTCCAGGGAGTCGCTCACATTCACCAGGAGGTCTGTCAAGTTCTGCGTGAGCCGCGGGGCTTCCAGGGCTGGGGGCGGGGTCGAGAGGGAGCTAAGTGAAGCTGCAGAAAGCGGCAGGTACTCTGGGATGGGCCCTCCAAGGAGTAGGGGGTGGGGACGGATTGCGTGAAGCTGAAGGAAGGGTCGGGGTTTGAGCGCCAGGTGGGGAAGGCTGCGCACCTCCACCGTGAGGGGATCGGGAGAGGGGCCGTTCCTGCAGGCTCGGGCTGTGAATGGACGGCTGGGCGCGCGCTGGGCTGCCCGCCTGGGAAGGCTCCTTGGGAAGCGCCGCCCGCCCCGCCCGCCCTGCCTGCCTCACCCTGCACTGAGAGGTACTTCTTATGACAGTGCTTGTCTTGGCTGCGCCGGTCCTGCACCTCGCACACGTAGTCTCCTTCGTGCTCAGGCGCCACGCGGGGGATGGTCAGGCTGAGCGTGGCGTGGCGCGTCCCGGGCGCCGCCTCCTCCAGGCTGGCGGCCAGCGGCGTGGCGAACAGATGCACATTCTTGCAGTCGAGTAGCAGCGGGTTCCCGTGCGCATCGTGCAGCGTGGACAGGTTGAGGCGATACCAGCGCAGATGCTCGTAGGTGTAGTTGTCCGCCTGGCAGCTCAGGCGCACTGCCTGGCCCTCCAGGGGATCCTCCGAAGGCTCTGATGCGATGGTGAAGCCGTCTGGGATGGCTGGGGAGGAGGAGGAGCCACTGCGACATTGCGCCAGTGCTCCCTCACCTGCCCAGGTGACGGCCTTCCCTTTCCCCTTGACCTTTGGACTCACTCGGCTCTCAACCAAGGTGCACATCTCGTGTATCTGGTCAGAGACACCCCTCTGAGCCCTCTTCTCCCCCTCACCAACCAAAGGGACCAACTCAGGAAGTCAGTCCCTCGGGGTCTGACTCACATTCTTCTCCCTCTCTCCTGGTCAAGCCCCCACCAGGCTGCTGCCCCATCTCTCCCAGGAGCTTGGATCATCACTGAGTTCCTTGTCACCAGACAGGGGTGCCTGAGTCACCGTCCTCCCTCACTGCTGACCAAACCCTACCACTGACCTCTCCTTGAAACAATCTCATTTCATTAGCTTTTGGCAATGCCTTGCTTCCAACTTCCTCTGTCCCTCTGGCCACTCCTTGTCAGGCTCCTGTGGGACCCTCTCCTCATCCCCGAGTGTTCTCTCTGGCTCCCTCTTACAGGTGACCTCATCTACACGCCTGGGCCCAGTGACTGTCCTTTCATGGGCTTCTAAGCTTTCCTGGGGTCACTAACACATGTGAAAATCTGAGGAAACTATGGACCTTCTCCCCACGGCAAAATGCACCCTTGAGCCAGCCACCAGCTGGGATCCAGGGTTTGGGGAGGGGGTGGGAGGCACCTCAAGGGTTGGGGCAGAGGGTGCACTTTATCCCAGTGGACCAACACCTCAGTCCGTATGCCGAGGACCTCCAAATCTATTCCTCTCGCCCAGACCCAGGGGCCCAGTGGGCCCTAGATCTCTTGGGTGCCCCACAGTCACCAGAAACTCAATGGCCCCAACCTGGGTCCATCATCCCTTCCCAAGCCTGTTCTCCTCCTGTGCCCTCCTGGCTTCTGACCTCCACCCAGGCCTGCCCAAGTCACTCACTGGTCACATAGAAGTAGATGAGCCGCTCATCCTGGCCCACTTTGTTGAAGACCACACATTTGTACATGGCAGACACGTTGGCATCTTGGATAACCAGCTTGCTCACCGTCTGGGCAGAGCACAGACACTAGGATCCATTTCATGCCCAAGTTCCCCCACCTGGACCCCCCTTTCTGCATGGAGGTCACTGTGCCCACCAGAGTAATGGGGGAAACTGAGGCTCCAGGCTGGAGATGACCAGAACTCAGAGATGGGGCCAGGAATGATGAGGCAGGGAAGAAAAGGGGAGACCCTTGGGCAGCAGAGAGAGGTGGCTCCCCAGAAAAGTCAAGGGACAGCACTATGGATAGCTGGCATCAGAGATGGCTGAGGTCAAAGGGTGGCATTAGGCAGAGCCAGAGAGACCTCTGGGTATGGATGGAGTCAGTTGGTGGCTATGTTGAGGAGGCGATAGGGACCTGGTGGCACTGGGTCCATCTAAGCCAGGGTTAGGATTCAGGCTGTGGTCACGTCAAGGGTCAGGCTGTGGCCCAAGGCCAGCAGCTGGTCACTGTGAGATCATTGTGATGTGCCCATGTTCGTCCCAGGGCTGCCCATAGCACCTGTCCCAGTACCCTGGTTAGTGGCAAGGGGAGGAACTCTGGCCTGGGGGAGTAGGAAGCTTGTGAAGCAGGGGAGGAGAGAGGGCCATAGGCCCTGCCTACCATCCAAAGACCCCCCCCCCACTCCCCCCACCCCACCCGAAGCCGGGCACTTCCTGGCCAGGCCTGGAACAGGAAGAGGCTCTGGAGGTGTGTAGGAAAACAGGAAGTGACTGTAGGAAGTGGGTGCCTTTGTTCAGTCCCCTCCCCCGCCTGGCCTCCTCTAGGCATTGCCCCCAGGCTGGGCCGGTTGCTCCGTAGTCTTTGGTGGGGACTTGGCTGGCCCCCAGCCCTGAGCCTGCTGGCCCTGGGGCCTGTGGGCAGCCGGGACCCATGGCCTGGCTAGGCGGCCTTGAATCTCAGCTTCCTTGTCTGGGAAGCAGCTGGAGGTCTGGCCCCCCCATCAACATGCAGGCAGGGGACACTGCAGAAAGGCCACTGACTCATGTGCTGTCCCCAGAACTCTGCAGGCCTGGTAGAAACAGAAAAGGACAGAAGAGGCCCCTCCCACCCCCTTCTCCTTCTCCCCGGCCACTCAATGGCACAGCAGGTCCGGACCTTATTCTTCCCCTCCACAAACTCGGTCCAGGTGTCCAGGCTTTCTATGGGGTTCACAGCGTCCTGTGTGGTCACCTCCCTCCAGTCTCGGCACTGTGGCATGCGGTCTCGCTGCTGCCGCCGGCTGCTGGGGACCAGGATGGGCAAGCACAGGTGAGGGATTTGGGCAGGGAGGGCCTCACTGGGGGCAGGGATGGAGCCTTTGTCATACTCAGGGTCATCTTCTCACACTGTGGTTGGTAAGGCTGGCCCTCGGGCCAGGGTGAGTGAAGGGGACCATGGCTTTGTTTCTGGAACACTGTCTCCCACCCTTTATGCTCAGGGTTCACAACCCATCCTGCATGGGCTGTCAGACACAGCCTTCCCCAGGAGGCCAGGGCTGTGCTCGCAGAGCAGCACACACCCATGGCTCTGTGGTCATCCTCCAGCCTGCTGTGCCACCATCCCCCCCTCACACATGCCCCTTCCTGCAAAGATCTTCATGTCACCAGGGGAAGCCCTCTTGCCCTGTCTCTCTAACCCCAATTCCAGAGCTGCAGGCCCCTCCCACCCCTGCAAGGCAGGCTTGGATCCTGGCACCTTTGGTCTCCCACTGGGATGGGGGTCTTGGGCCCTCAGGGTGTTGTCTGTTGGTACAGAGCAGGATGGTAGAGCATCAGAGGGAAGCAATTTTGGAGGTTCCGGCTGTAGCCTGCAGCCTCGTGGTCTAGAAGAATCTCTCACGAGCCTTGGATGTTGCTGGCTGGCCCAGGCCCACAGGGCACCCTACTGAGCCTCCCCACTGACCACGCCTGGGCCACAGCCCCTCTGCCTGTTCTGTCTCCTGCCTGGGTTCTCGGCTACCATCCCACCCCAGCCTGTGACGCTCCACTCTGCCCACAAAGATCTCCTGCTAAATGGCAAATCCGACCCACCACTCCCCTGCTCAGTGCCCTGCACTGGCTCCCCAGTGCCTTCCAGACCACTGCCCACCTCAGCGCCCTCCTCTCCTAGCCACTCCTTGTCCACATTGTCTCTGCCCTGAGCGTTCTCCCAGCCCGTCTGTCCTCCTGGCACCGGCTCAGGTAGGGGAGTGTAGCCCAGCAGTTGGGCAGGCTCCGCTGCTTACAGCCGTGACCTTGGGAAAGCCACAGCCCTTCTCTGACCTCAGTTTCCTTCTCTCTAAGGGGTCATTGTGAGCGCCGCACCAATGAGCTGACGAGCGTGGCTGCGTGCTGTGTGTGGCTCAGGAAAGTCTCTAAAACTAGCCCTGTTCGCCCACTGGTGGGAGGTGCCCTCCTTGGTGCCCAGAGGCACATCCCACGGTCCTCTTGGGATGATGCAATTATATGTCTGGGGGGCTTTGCTCTCCAGGGAGGTGGGTGGGGGCTGGACCATCTCCAGTGTCCAGCCTGGCCTGACTGATACAAGGGAGGGTCTGAGCCTTGTTCAGTGGGGGTGAGGTCAGGGATTGGCTACAGTTGAATCATGATAGGGTTCAAGTTTAGAGCAGGGCTCTGGAGAGGGGTGCAGGCAGTGAATGGGGGTCACGGCTGAGGCTGGGGCTGGGAAATAGGGGAGGGCAGGCTGGAGCCACACTCACAGGCTGCGCTGGGCGAAGGTCTTGCAGGGTGTCCACGGCCGCCAGTGCCACTGGATGCTGAGTGGGGGGGGCACCCCGTAGGCAGTACAAGTGAGGGCCTGGCGACTGTGGCGGGAGTAGATGCTGGGGGAGGAGGTCTCCTTCTCGTGGATGTGGGGAGGCACTGGGGGCAGAGGCAGACAGCTGATCAGCCAGCCCCACCACCATACCTGCTGCCCACTCTCCCCTCTCCCATCCTGCCCACCCCTACCGTTCACCACCAGCTCCAGGCTGATGTTGCGCCTCAGGCCAGCCGCGGAGTTCCACAGGGCGAGGGTGTAGATGCCTGCACTGGCCTCCGTTACCTCCTTGAGCACCAGCGCATGGGGACTGTGGCGCCCGGACACTGCCTTTCTGTCCTTGTACCTGGCCCAGGAAGGGAGTTCAGGGGGCCGCGTGGATCCCACCCCAGCCCTATCCTGGCACTCCTTCCCTGACAAACCCCAGTCCCTAGAACTGGAATATACTGTTGGGAGGCAGGAAGAGTCCTTGTGCCAAAACAAGAGGGTCCCCCCTGGACCAGACCAGGAGGCTGCTGGGAAGGGCAGCAGAGGAGTAGGGGTGCAGCGACACAGGTCTGGGATGCAGATGGCCTAAAGGGTATAGGAGTGTCTCCAGGCTCCGCCTGCCTGGTCGCACAAGAGAGGCAGGCCCAGGAACGCCTGGAGGTCTGCAGCACACATCTGCCTCCCCTACAGCCCTGTGGTCTTTCCACGAGTAAGGAGTTACTGCACAGTGGGGCTGCCTTCTTTCTGGCCCGCTGGTGGCTGGGGCCAGCCTTCTGTAGCCAGGCTCAGAGGCCCAGCCCAGGGCCTCAGGAGGGTCCTGCCCACCTTCCTGGTCTCTGGCTCCTCCAACCCAGCTGGGCTTTGGCCTCAGACACCCACTGCAGTGCCAGTGGGCCTGGTCTCTTTCTCACAGGCTTCGGGTGGTATGTGCCATGAGGCAGTGGAGGTGTAGTCCCATGGGGCACAGCCTGGACCCTAGCCCCAAGGGGCAGGCCCTGCCTTGCTCTCTGACCCCGGCTCTGCCCTTCCAGGAGCTCTCTAGACATGTGGCTTCCTCACTGTCCCCCAGCCCCACAGGGGGTCTGTGCGCTCACTGTTCCCCCTGCTTGGATACTCGGTCCTCTAGACAGCTGCATGGCTTCCTCGCTCCTACATTCAAACACCCACTCATCAGAGAAGCCTTGTGACCTGCTCCTGGTCCTGGGACCTGTGCCTGCCCATCTGCATGTGGGTTTTCATACACGTCTGCTGACTGTCCATCTCCCCACTCTGAGCTGTGAGCCCCATGAGGGCAGGGACTGTCCCCTACACACAGTGGCACCTAGCATGTGTAGGGGTTCAATGCATGTTTGCTGCATGTGCAAGTAAATGGATGCCTCATACCCCAAAGGGTGGCTCCTCCCCAGTCCTGAGCTGGGAATGTCTCAGGCAGCTCCCTTGGCAACCTGAGCTCTGGACTGCCTGGAAACGGTCCTCCCGGAGGCAGGCGCCTTTCCTGGGCCAGAGAGGTGCCAAGAGGTACACCGCCCTCGGGCAGAGGCCAACAGTGAGGGGATGCAGGGGCATGGCTCTCCACCTTGACACCACAGCCGCCCCAGGACCGGGAGGGATGTGGCCTGCCTAGGGTCGCAAGCAGGGCAGGGCACACACGAGGCTGTGCAGACTGCTGGGCTTTGGTGCAGGATCCTGAGCCTGCAGCACCTGTGATCTCAGGCAAACCCAGTCACCACCCCAAGCCCCGGTGTCCTCCTCCAAAAACAAGGGGCACAAAACACACCATCTCAGAGGGGTTTTGAGGTCTAACCAAGATGCGGCATTTGGTGTCAGCACCGCGCTGGACACACTGAGGGTGCTGTGCAGCTCAGGACCAGCTCACCTGTCTGTCCACTAGATCTCCATCCATTCACTTACTCATAATCCTCACATGATGACCCAGAAGAGAGGGCCCCCGTGGGGCTGTGGTGACCACTAGTGCCCTGGGGCAGGTGTCTTGGGTAGACAGTGGGGCCAGCTGAGCACTTTTTGGAGGCAGGTGTTGGCCAAGTGAGAAGAGAAAGGCCGGGTGGGATGGGAACAGTGAGAAGTAGCCAGCTGCCTAAGGATCTAGCCTGCGCTGGACCCCAGCTACAGCAGAGCTGGCCAGCTGCCCAGAGCAGGGTCAGTCTTGCCGGCCTCGGAGGGCAGGGACAGGACCCCAGGTGTCTCCAGGAGGCCACACCTGTGAGGAAGGCTCCAGGCTGCATCAGCGCCCTTCAGGACCCTGCCCCAATGGCCCTGGTCCCACATCAGGTGCCCCAATGGACCCCGAAGTCTGTAGCCTCAGAGGTTAGCATCATACCAGGACCAGGACCAGGGCATCCTGGGACCTTCCCAGGAGAAGCCTGCTTCCAGCCTACTGCCAGTGCGTTGGGGTTCCAGCTAAGAACGTGTGGGGCCTCTGCTTGGCCAGCATCAGGCTTTCAGAAATGTCAGCTTGACTGGAGAGAGATGGCTCAGGCTGGGAAGGGTGAGGCTCCTCTGGCCAGCTGGGAAAGGATGGAGCAAGGCCCCTCCCAGGAGGCTTGGGGCTCAGATGGGAATGCCCTTCCTCTTTCCTGGCCTGTTTCCTCATCTGTACCATGGGGGTCAGGCTACAGTGTGAAGTCCCAGGGTTGGGCCACATGGACCACTCAGATGGCCTGAGGGTGTGTGGTGGGTGCTATGTCTTCCTGAGCTCTTGGGGAGCACCCAGCAAGGGCGGAGCCACCACTGAGGGACCCCTCACTGACCCTCAGCACCACAGTAGAGGCCTTACTCTCAGGTCACAGACCAGCCCACAGGCCTCCTGGGAGCGCTCGCTCACTGCCACACAGCTCAGGCCCAGGCAGGGCCTGGCTCCTTGACGGTTTGTGGAACCCCTGTGGCATGTCTGAATTTCTGGTTAGGAGAGTCCTGGGGGTGGCAGCTTGTTAGGTGGGAGGCCTAGGAAACCTGGCCATTGCTGTGGGGCAGGCCAGACCTCCCTGACACCTTCCAGCTGGCAGGGCCCTCAGAGATGGTGAGCAGATGCAGGAAGCAGTTAGATATAGCCCACCACACCCACACATGAGCAGAGGCCCGGTTTACACCCTTTCACAGTTTAGTAGCATCCCAGGCCAACTTTCCCCCTGGCTGAAATGATGCATGATATGCACATTCCTTAGTGTCTTCAGAGGGGCTCCCTACCCGGGATCTTGGGGAGGAGGCCCAGATGCAGGAACTGGTCCCCACGGGGTCAGGGTGCAGGTCCTGACTGGGGGGGATGGGTCCCCATGGGGTCTCGGGGCACAGGCCTGATGAGGAAGACGCTGCCCTCCCCTCCCTGTGGGCCGTCCTGCTGAGCCTGGGTAGTGGAGGGGCAGGAGCCAGGGAGGTACCACTGGAATTCCGGCGGGGGGTACGCTGCCAGCTTCACGGGCAGCTTCACCAGCTCGTCTCCTGCTGTGGCCTCCAGGACAGGACCCTTGAGCCACTCGACGCTGATGAAGGGCTTTTCTGCCAGATGGGAGGCATCAGTGTAAAGCCAAGGCAGGTGTCACTGACACACCACCACCCAGGGATTCCTCGCCACCTCCAGCAGCCAGATTTCTGCACACTAGGGCCTGTCCTGCCCTCTGGGGTGTGGGAACAGGGCAGGCCATCCACTCATGGCCCTCCCTTCCCTCTGGCTGGACTCCACACTGCTCGGGTGTACCATAACCTCTGACCCTGGGGCTCCTGCTGCATAAGGACCCTTATTCCCCAGGCTGGATGACTGACGCTGACCCAGCCCAGGCCATGCTGGACACGACCACCTGACCTCAGGCCGTACCGTGCACAATGACCTCGGTGCTCTCCCGGAATCGCTGGATGCCGTTGTTGGCCTCACACACGTACGGGCCCAGGTCGTGCTGGCTGACGTTGTGGATGGTCAGGATGCTGGAGAGCTCTGTGTGAGTCTGCTGGGAGCGCCGCTCTGGCACCCACTTACCCCGCTCTGCCTGCCCGCGCCCAGAGGAAGCCCAGGGTCAGAGCAGGTGGGCTCTGGCAGAACTGACCACCAAATGCACACACCCCAGCCCAGCCAGTAGTGGCTCCAGAAGCCTCAGACCCAGACCGAGTTTTCCTTTGGGTAGGAAAATTCCCCCATCAGACTGGGGCTCCTGGGGCTGCTGGGTCTGCACGTTCTCTACACAGAGGCCAGTGTGTGCCCAGCCAGGGCGGGCATGGACAGTGAGTGTGGACACAGGACAGGTGTGGGCAGTGATGGGGACTCCTGGGGACAGTGCGAGCCCAGCCCCTGGCAGGGCTGCTGACTTACCTGCTTTCCTGGATAGTCCCAGTCGAAGGTAACGCCGGAGTTGAACTCGGCCCACACGGTGCAGTTCAGGACCAGCTTCTCCCCAACCAGTAGCTCCAGCGACTTCTTGGGGAACAGCTGGATGTCATAGAGCTCGTTGCCTGGTGACATATGCACAGTGACCCCCACGCCCCTCACAGGATGGTGCACAGAGTGCAGGGCACAGGGCGCCCACTGAGACCAGCCGTGGCACCTATGTGGCACCTACTGCCCCATTCCTGGGAACTGGGGTCCCCATCCTCTTCCTGCAGTCCTCCTCCCAGAACCTCCTCCCTCACCCTGGGCGGCCCCTACCTGTGATGTGCACGAGGAAGGGATTGGAAAGGAAGGCCTGGCCGCCCCAGGTGGTCTCACACTGCAGGTACAGGGCGTCACGCAGCAGTGGCGTCGGGACCCTCATGCCCCGGCGGTCATCCCACACCACATCCTGCCCATCAGGCCGCAGAGCTGAGCTTTGCTGCAGGACAGGTAGCCGTCAGGGCCTGGCAACTCCCTTCCTCCTGGCCACACCAGTGGCGCCTTTCCAGGGTGGGGAGAGGAGGGCCCAATCCCGGGGTGGGGTGGGGATATGGTTGTACCGAGCGCAGTGTGACGTTGAGGCCGGGGATGGACACCAGGCAGGGGACCCACATGGAGTCCTTCCTGTTGACCAGGAGCGTGTCTGGCTTGTTGATGAACGGCTGCTCCAAGTCTGAGAGGAGGGGGAAAGTTGTGCCAGAAGCAGCCAGGGATCAGGGGGCCTCTGCCCAGGTTGGGTGGCAGGGTGGCCCCATGGGGTCAGCAGGCCAGGAGTGGGGGTACAGGTGCCAGCCGTTCCTCTGGGAGCCCAGGCCCTGTGCTTGCTTCCTGGCAGCTGTGGGAGTGGGTGGGGCCCTCACCTCTCACGAACACGTAGGTGCTGGCCGCAGTGGTGCCCTCGATGCGGGCCTTGATGTACTTGTAGTAGCAGCGGTAGCAGCCTGTGTTGTTGGCACGGGCCTCACGCAGCAGCAGCACTTTGCAGTAGGGCCTGGCGTCCGTGCCCTCGCAGTCTCGCACGACCCCCGTGTCCTCGCTGTCCTTATCCTCTGTGGCTGGTGCGTCCTGAGCCCCTGGCCAGGCCCACTCGAGAGGGTGCTGCCCCCTGGCACAGGACATGGGAGGTCAAGAGGGGCCCCAGCTGCAACCCCAGAGCCTCCCTTGGGGGCCAAGCCTTGCCCAGAGCTTGTCTCATCTGGAGGTCAAGACAGCCCAGCATTTGTGCACACACTGTGGACCCAGCCCAGAGGGAGCGCTCCCTGAGCCCCTGGGCCTCTGCCTGGCTCCTGGGCCTGTGTGTGGCAGGATGGCCTGCAGAGAAGCCCAGGCCTCGGATCACAGCTGGGGCTGCAGGGAGGACACCATCTCTGGGGCCCGTGTGGGTGACGTAGGGTCAGTGTGGGGTGACCCAAGGTCTACTGAGTGATCTGGGGTCAGTGCAGATGACCTGGCTAGTGAGGGGTGGCCTGGGGTCAGTGTCGGGTAGCCTAGGGGTGGGTGCAGTGCGACTGATCAGTGGTCCATGTGGAATGACAAGGGGTGGGTGCAGGTGCCTTGTCTGCAGCACAGGGGATGGTCTGCCCTCCAGGCACCCACACCCAGGCTCCCTGGGAGCCCCCCTAAGCCTTGAGGCCTCTGCCCTGGGGAGGGGCTGCTACGTGGGTCCTCGGCCACCATCTCCTGCCTCCTTGGCCTGCCAGATGGGAGGGACCCAGGCCCCTGCTTCCCTGACAGGGGGCCAAGTACCTGCAGGAGATGGACAGGCTGTCACTGGAGTCAATGACGTACGTTTCCTCCGTGATGTTTAGGGCCGGGGGGGTCATGGAGTAGCCACTCGCCAGGCCTGGGGTGGGAGACACGGTTAGCGTGGTGCTGGGCTGTGAGTTCACATGACGATGCTGATCGGCCCTGATGGGCCTTCCCTGCCCATGGGCCTGAGCAGCACCGACAACGCTCCAAGACAACTGGGAACCTCCACCTCATGCTGACCCTTGCCCCCTGCCCCCTGCCTCTGGCTGCAGATCAGCCCCAGCCCCAAGTGAGCCCTGACCCAGGCGTGCACAGAACCCTGACCTCTGGCCCCACATGAGCTGAGCTGCCCGCATGAAGGCGATGGGAGACCACAGGGCTCGATCTACACTGGGGTGGCCTGGAGTGCTTCACCTTGGCATGGCGACCCCACATGTCTGCGTGATGGCCCTCCTCCTGACCTGCAGACACGGTCACTACCTGTGAGGCGGGCTTGTGCAGCAAAGACCCTCCCCAGACATCAGAACCGATGGCATCTGTTTACCCCTGAAATTCTGCCCTCTTGTGACCAGAATTGCGAACTTGCCCTCTCCCAGGTCTCATGGAGTCCACCTCGGTGTCCTTGGCTCCACCAGCGACCCCTGGCTGCCCCACCTCCTCCAGGCCCCCCCTTCCTCAACCTCCCCATTCTTCCCACAGGGCTCGTCCCCAAACACAGAAATAACTTTGCCTGGCTTGGTGGAAAAGCCTCCTGAGGCCCTCCAGGACCCTGGCCTGCTGCCCACACAGCTCCTTGCCCACCATCCTTCTCCCAGCAGGATGGTGCATGAGTGTGTGTCAATACGTGCACGTGTGTGTGTGTGTATGTATGCGTGTGTGTGCATGTATGCACGTGTCAATAGGTGTGGTCTCTGTTGTGAGCGTCTGTATCTGTGGGCTTGGAATCCTGTGTTTGTGGGGCTGGTGTGAGAGTGATGGTGTGTGGCTTTGTGTGTGCATGCCAGTGTATATTTTTGACATGTAAGTGTGTGCGTGCACATGGCCTTGTGCATGTGTGGGACCCTGGTGGGGGTGGGAGCAGGCCTCGGGGGAGGTCTGGACCTGGAACTCTGGCAGATGCATCCTGCCAGGACCATCCTGAGACAACAGGAAGAGAGGACTGTGTGGCTGGGGGCCCAGGGCTGCGTCCTGTCCCTCCCCCCAAGTCCCTGTTCTCCTGGGGGGGTACAACCCACTCTCTTGCCCCAGGACCAGCCTCCTCCAGTCCCACAGGTCCGGCTCCTCTGCCCTCCCCAGCCCAGCTCCCTGGGCCCAGAGTCCTGCCCTGGCAGCCAATGGGGAGGCAAAGCCTGGGACCCGTCATCGTCATTGGTTCTTCCCTCATCTTTAATCTTTAACTTACCAAGGCACTAAAAGCTCCCATCTGTGATTCTCAACTTAAAAAAATTATAAAATACATGATTTCTAAAAGCTGTATATCACACATGTTGTAGACAAAGTGCTTAAGGTGGGCTGCCAAGGTACTACACCACCCTGACCCCAAGCTGCCCTAGGAGATGGCACCTGGGCAGCAAACTCTGCACACCAAGAGCTCATCTTGGCATCAGGAGGACAACACAGCCAGCAGCCAGGATCAGGTCCCCCCTCCTGTCTCTCCCTGCTGGCCAAACCCTTCGAGGTACCACAATAACATGGGTCAGAGGTAGAAGACTCTCCCTGAGCATCTAGTCCTATTGTACAGACAGGAAAACTGAGGCCCTCCAGCCAGATTGTGCTGCCACCCTCAGAAGGCAGCCCTCGCCTGGCCAGCTGCTGTGACCGCTGCAAGATCCCTCCTTAGCCTGAACTGGGTGGGCCCCCTCCTAGTACTCAGGCTGGTGGCCCTGCCCTGGCCCCAAGGTGGAAAGGCAGCCCTGGGCTCTGTCCCCAGGGGCCTTCTCCATGTGGGCTCTGCCCGCAGGTCCACTCCTTGCCAGGTGGGTGCCCAGCCCTCCAGGCACACCAGCAGGGCCTGGGCACTCTGCAGCCCCCACTGCACACCCTTGGGGTTGCTGGGGAGACAGCTCGGTGCCACAGGAGGAGGCAGCCTCACCAGGGCTGGAGGGAGCTCCCTGGGAGGAGGCTCCCCTTGGGCGGTGGGAGGCCGGAAGGAATCCCTAGGAGGGCACCTCTGAGCTGGACCTTGAGGGAGAAGTAGGATTTTCCAGCAGAGGGAAGTGAATAAAGCCATCCAGGCAGACAGCTGGCCTCGAACTACATAAGAAGGTAGGCTTGGGTTTGGACCTGCGGGAGATGTAAGAACGGGCTTTTGCATGGACCAGTCAGGGGTCAGGCTTGAGATCAGTGAGTGGGCACCAGAGCAGAGGTGTGGTAGCCAGCACCCACCTGCCCTGGGCCTGTGCATGCCTCACAGCGAGGCCTGTGGTGTTGCCCATGGGCCCCCTGGAGGCTGAAAGTCCTCTTCCCTGGGGTGCACATCTGGCACCCTCAGCTATGGAGCTGTGGCAGACATCAGCGCAGCTTCCTTGGATGGCTCTCCTTTGCTTCCAAGATAAAACATGGCACACCAGGCCTCTCCCTCTGTCTACTCCCCTTCTCTCCAGCTTCAAATCCTGACGCATCTCTGAGAGGCATGGACCTCTCACCATCATCCCAAAGTGCCAGGCTTTTCACATCTTGAAATCTTTGCCTTCCTTATCTCTTTGCCCAGGACATTTGAACTTCTCTCCTCCCACGGAACTCCCTCTTTAGGGTCTAGTTCATGAGTCCCTTCCCTAGGGAGCAGTCACCATTACTCAGGCAGTGTTAGACTTGGGCTCCTTGGGGCTCCTGCTTAGAACACTTATCATACTGAATTGTGGTTTTCTGGTCATAGCTGAACAGAGGCTGCATTTTATTCATCTTCCTGAGCCCAGTGCAGAGGAGATGAACACCAAAGATTGAGGGGGTGGATTCACGAATGGTAGGATGGATGAGGGGGGATCAGAGGAATGAATGGATGGGTGGGTTGGTGGACGTATGAGTGGGTGGGTGGGTGGGTGGATGGGAAATGGAGACTGTAGGAGCTTCCTCTCTACAGGCTGCCACACCACCACAAGAAGCATCCACATCACTGTACGAAACAGGAGGACCATCCATCATGCTTGCCAACCCTTTTACCCTTCTGTGTGAGCCTCTCCTTTGTTGCCACATGTCCTGACTTGCCCCAGTGCCCCCTCTTCCTTTGTTCACTTCCACTGGGCAGCAAACTTCACTGTAGACCTCACTGTCCTCCTCCCTTCTTCCTGTTGGAACTGAAACCTGGCCTTCTGGGGACACCGAACATGCCAGGCATCGGACAACTCCTCGTGGCTACCTCCCCTTCTCTGAGGGCACTACCCACTAAAGCTACCATCAGCTGCTGTCCTGGTCACTTCCCCTCATTCTCTGCTCCCGGCTCTCCAACCTCTTCCACCCCAACTCAGGCCGTTCTCCATGACTGCAACATCCACATGGAGGACTCGCCAGCACCCTGGCCTTTGCAGTCCCCGTCTCTACTGTCCTCCCCCGTCTGCCCTCAGCCCCTCACTTCCTGGGAACACCCTGGACCTGGTCCTCACCAGCAGCTGCACCATCACTCACTGCCTATCTTCTTGCACTTCTCTGTCCCCATCTCCTCTGCCTCTTGCTAGGTGCCCTTATCCCATCACTGCTAAGTCCTTCAGCTTCATCAAAATTCAGTCCGGGGACCACCCCCCGCCTCCAATCCCTGCCCTCACCCCTGACCTGGCACAGTGTGGCCTGCAGCTCATGGCCCATCATTCTGATTGTTCCTTTGCCTCTCACCCGCCATCCCCACCCCTGCAGCGCCACCATGTCCCTCAGCGGTGCAGTGCTACAGACACAGCCCCAGCCCCACGCTGCTGCCTCCGTTTTTTTTCCTGTTGGCAGACATTACATGGGCCCTTGGGTTGCAGTTCAGGGCATTCCCTCCTCCCTCCCAAAGCCATCCAATGGAGACACCTCATCTTCCCACATCCAAACCCCATGCTCCCAGCCTGGGCCCTGGAAACCCTCTGACATTCCTGCTCCCAAGGCCAAGCCCTCCATCCTGCCAGGGATCCCAACTCCCTGGACCTGACTCCTGCAGACAATTCCTTTCTTTTTTGATCACTAGTCTTTCTCTGTGGAATCATCTCCTATCTTATAAACAAAACCCCCAACTCCTTGACCCCATATTCCCTTCCAGGCACTGTCCCCTTTCCTACTCCACTTCATAGCAAGAGCTCTGCCCACTGTGCTTCTCCTCTACCCACTGAGGTGAAGCCCCCTCCTCCGCTTCACGGAGCTGCTGATCAGGGCTTCCCGTGACCTCCATGCTGCAGGACCAATGGGCGCTCGAGGGCAGGGAGCAGAGCTGTTACCTTCTCTGCTGCCTTCTGTGAGCTCTCTCTCCCCCATCTTCCTCCTTCCCCTCTGCCCACCACCAAACATTGTCACTCCTTGCTCTCTCTTCTCCACTGGTCTTTCTCCTAAGTGTCCAGATACCTGCAAAATCTCTACCTCCTGCCCAGACCCCATCTTTCAACTTGGGCCTTAAGTATCCAGCTGCCATTGCGCTTGGCCACCCCACAGACACCAGAGGTCCACATTACCAATGCTGAGCTCCAGTGTTGGATGGATGGAAGGATGGCTAGCTGGATGGACAGACAGATGGATAGAGGGATGGAAGGATGAGTGGATGTATGGTTAGATGGAAGGACAAGTGGACAACAGACAGACAGAGGATGGATGGATGGATGGCTAGATGGAAGGAAGGATGGCTAGATGGAAGGACAGACAGACAGGGAGATGAATAAAACGATGGACAGATGGAGGGATGGATGGAAGGATGGGTGGATGGACGGATGGATGGAGGATGGACAGAGATGGAAGGAAGGAAAGAAAGACGGGTGGATGGGTAGATGGACTGATGGGTGGGTGGATGGCTGACTGGCTGGCTAAAAAGACCTCTGACGTCTTCCTTTGGGTTGGAAGTGTGTCAGATCCTGCCATTCCTTTGAAAAGCTGTTCCCAGTTTCACAGGTCAGGCTTCCTGGTGACGGCGTGTACCCC